GGCCTAGACCCTTCTTCAGAAGAAGGGTCTAGGCCCGAAACGTCAGCCTTCCTGCTCCTCTGATGCTGCTTGGCCTGCTGTGTTCATCCAACTCTACACCTTGTATCTTAGATTCTCCAGCATCTGCAGTTCCTACTATCTCTGGCACTCAGTACAAAGCAGATTAGCTGTGCTGCAGGTTCAGGTTGTCCAATTACCTCAATGTTCTGGTCTATTTTTGAGTCTGAGTATGTCCTCTGCTGGAAGACACAGTCATTTCTCCACAGGCTGGAGACTTTTATTACCCTGGGGTCACTAGCCAAGGAGATAGCCATTTTGGATGAGATGAGGAGGAATTTCTTCACCCAATGGGTTGTGCATTGCTGCAATTTTCTACCCCAGACAGCTGCGAATGTGCAGTTGCTGTATATTTGAGACAAATTAATGGACTTTTGGGAACTAAGGATATTAATCAGGACTGCTTGGCAAGTGGTGTTTGAGTTGAAGCTGAGCAATGATCTTCTTGAATAGTGGAGGAGGCTCAAGGGGATCTTATGGACCTATTTTGCTCCTATTGCTTATGGTTTTGTGTCTTGATTGTCTCCTGTCGACTCCCAGTCAAGGCTTGCTGTGATATGGGAAACTCTGAAATATTATTGACATGGTTATTCTTACTTTGTAAGTCACTTAGACATCAGAGATTTTGTGTGGTCAGAGCAAACAAAACTGCATTAGTTTTGTTGTTAACTTATTCATTTTAAGGTTGGGGGGAGTTAGAGTAGAGTTAAACAACGATGAATGCTATACAGGCATGTTGAGCATTGAGGTGCTAAAGGAAATCCCCTTGTTTCAACTGACTATTGGACTATAGAGGAAATCACAGATGAGTCAGTGCTGCCTTTGATCAATCTCCATGTGGAGACATCATTGAGGGCTTCTTTTGAGTGACTCCTTGGCCCCTCTTTCACCAGGCCTACTTAGGACAACTGTTGGAACAACCAACACTTTACTAACCGAGACCAAAGTCGGCAATTTTACCTCCTCCTTGGCCAAGAATTCATGGCATTGATTTATAATACGGACCAGAGACTGAATCTTGGCCTTGCTGCTGGAGAGGAAGATGTGGGAAGAGAATGACCTCCTGCCAAGGCGTGATCTCATTTCAGGCTCATTTTTACTTCTTTTGTTCCTGCTATTATGAGCTGTTATTGTTCAAGGATAAGGCTGTTGCTGCACTCATTCTAGATCCCTGATTCCCAATTAAGTAACGGCATGTGGCTTGAGAGAAAACAAAATACTATTTCTTACCTCTTTCCTTTACTTCTTTATTGCAAGTTCACTCTTTCCCCCTGTCTAGTTTTTTTAGAATGGAGATTACAGAGCGGCCCTCTCTGTCATCTGGCTCCATGGTTGACCCCCTGATATGGCCAACATCGCGCCCTGCACCATCACATCTTCCAATGTTTCAACCTCATACCCTCTCTAACAGAAAATCTGCCTGCTTCCAGCTCTGTAACATTGCCCAACTTTGTCCCCATCTCAGATTACCTGCAATTGATACCCTCCTTCATGATTTTGTTAACTTAAGGCATGGCTGTTCCAAAGCACTGCTAGCTTATATCCTACATTTGACCCTCTCTGTTTACATTTTAACTTGCATCAAGTCCCCCTTTGTCATCTGTCACCTCAGTGCTCGCTGACCTATGTAGTGATTGTAACAAGGTCAGCCAACTGGACCTCATAGAATATGAGTGGGGCTGTTAGTCTGGTCCAATCAGGGACCCCTCATTGACAGATAAAAAGGGTGAGTGTAAGAGGTACTGACACTCTGGTACTTAAAAAGGCAGGACTAAAGATAAGAACTGTTCATGTGTAATTAAAGGGTGACTTGGTGACGGGATGACCAGTCCCTGTGGAGTTATTCAACCTTCATTAGCTCCCATTCAAGCAGCATATCATCCTTCTTTTTAAATCCATCATAGCCTCGCCTCTTCCTATCTTTATCATCTCCTCCAAAGCCTCAACCCACTGAGATATGTGCACTTCAGGAATTCTGACCTTCCACACTCCTGGATTTAATCCCTTCACCATTGGTTGCCATGCCTTCAGCTGCTTGAGCGCCCAATCTCTGGAATTCCCTCCCTAAACCTTTTTGCCTGCCTCCTTCCCTTAAGACACTCCTTAAAACTTATCTCCTTGAGCTAGCCTTTTGTCACCTGAAGTAAAATCTCCCTACATGGGTCAGTATAACATACTGTTCCAGAATGCTCCTGTATAGAGCCTGTGGATGTTTTGTTACATTAAAGGCACTTTCTAAATGCAAACCGTTGTGGTCACCTGATCACACCAGACGGGCCGAAGAGGAAGAGAAATGGTTGCTGTAACTCACCTCCGCAGGCTGGGGAGAAGAGAGAATAAAAGGAATAATTAGCAACTATTGTCTCAGAGAATGTTTCATTGGAGTGGGTTTGTACAAGAGACATAAAACAATGAGATAACAAGGTGTAGAGCTGGATGAACACAGCAGGTCAAGCAGCATCAGAGGAGCAGGAAAGCTGACGTTTCGGGCCCAGACCCTTCTTCAGAAATGGGTATAGGCCCGAAACGTCAGCTTTCCTGCTCCTCTGATGGTGCCTGGCCTGCTGTGTTCATCCAGCTCTACGTCTTGTTATCTCAGATTCTCCAGCATCTGCAGTTCCTACTATCTCTGAGACATAAAACAATGATCCTCAGCTCAGTGAATTGGTTTCTGTTGTTGCTTTAAATTGTCAACTCACATTCTATCCCACCCACGCTACTCGTTTGCTTTCCCCTCCCCGACTCTGTTGCCAGTGTACGCACCCCCCACCGACTCCCCACAGGTAAGGATAGTATCCTTCAGTTTATGTGGCTGTAGTCTGTTAAGCGAGATATTCGACTCTAGGAGCCTCCACAGTTAGGCCCAAATGTGTTGTCACCTGACAAGTTACTTGTTGTAGTATTCCAAGCTTCTGATTGCTCTTGTAGCCACAATAAATTGTTTATATCTAGACCTGATGAGTTTGTGGTCAATGGTAACCCCTAAGCTGTTGATAGTAGGGGAGGTGATGGTGTAGTGGTATTATCGCTGGACTGTTAATCCAGAGACCCAGATAACATTCTGGGGACCAGGGTTCAAATCCCACCACAGCAGATGGTGGAATTTGAATTCAGTGAACATCTGGAATTAGGAATCTAATGACGACCATGAGTTGATTGTCAGGGGGGGGGAAAAAAACCCTCTGGTTCACTAATGTCCTTTAGGGAAGGAAACTGCCATCCTTACCTGGTCTGGCCTCCATACAACTCCAAACCCACAGCAATGTGGTTGACTCTCAACTGCCCTCTGGGCAATTAAGGATGGGCAATAAATGCTGCCTGATCAGTGACACCCTCATCCCGTGAATGAATAAAGGGGGAAAAAAATGAATAAAGGAAATTCAGTACCACTGAACTTCAAAGGATGGTGGTTAGTTTGCCTTTTTTTTATTCACTCATGGGATGTGGGCGTCACTGGCTGGGCCCAGCATTTACTGCCCGTCCCTAGTTGCCCTTGAGAAGGTTGGGGTGAGCTGCCTTCTTGAACCGCTGCAGTCCATGTGCTGTAGTTAGACCCACAATACCCATAGGGAGGGAATTCCAGGAGTTTCACCCAGAGACACTGAAGAAACAGCGATATATTTCCAAGTCAGGATGGTGAGTGGTTTGGAGGGGAACTTGCAGGGGATGGTGGTGTTCCCATGTCAGTGAGACACAGCCCAAGTGAGCATATAGTTTGGGGAATTTTGAGGTAATGTGAGAATTCGGTGCAGAGGGGAAAAGGTACTTTTTGCTTGTTATTTCGGCTCATAGTCTGTAAGGTTTTTTTTAACAGGATAAATTGAAAACCCCAGGATCAGGGGCTCAGCTCGAAAGAGTGACATCACAGGTAAACCATAAGTTCATTGGTTGGTGATAGTGCCTAATTTGACTATTATTAGTTACATTCAGATTGAAGGTAAATAGGGGAAATATTTACAGCCTACAAACTAAAAGACGAGTACAATTGAAAATTATATCAAATTAGGAACGAAGCAATTGAAATAGAGATGCCAGGCCAGGTGATGTATTGTAACCCCTAGAAATGTGGGAGCTGGTAGATCTCACTGTCGCTCATAGCGACCACATCTGTAGCAAGTGTCGGTTGCCTGAGGAACTCCAGCTCAGAGTTGATGAGCTGGAGTCTGAGCCTCAAACACTGCGACATATCAGGGACCGGGAGATTTACCTGGACACAAGATGCAAGATGGCACCAACACCGGATGACTCCTAGCGAGCTCCTACAGCAGATCTAACTCTAACATTTCTTATGGCAGTTCCACACTTTTACGGCTCACTGCCGTGGAAAGACCCATTGCACCCCAGTAATGATCTCCTACAACCTCTTCCATCAGGCAGAAGACACAGGAGCCTGAACAGGTTCAGGAACTGTTTCGTTCTGGCTGTTATCAGACTGCTGAATGGACTATAGCCTCAAATAATGTAACCTGCAATGTAACCTGTATGCCTCTAAGTCTTTTTGATCAGTCCATCCTTTGCTTGCTGTAATCTGCTTTGTAAGCAAAGTCCAGCTTGTAAGCAAAGCTTTTCACTGTATTTCAGTACACGTGATAATAAAATCAATCAATCAAACTGTGCTTCAGCAAGCAGTCACATTAGATTAACTACCTTGAATTCGGTCAGTGGTCAGGGACAGGAGGATGTGACTATGAACAAGGCAGGTAGAGGGATCCGGGAGGGAATGCTGAAGGAGCCTCAGCTCTTGAGCATGTCTAACAGGTTTGAGATTCTTGCTCCGTGTGTGGGTGAGACCGGGGTCTGTAGGGAGAATGAGCAAACCGACCACAGTACCATGGTACAGGGAGCCATTCCAGAGGTGGGAGAAAAGAGAAATGTAGTTGTAATCAGGGATAGTACAGTCAGGGGAATAGACACTGTTCCCTGTGGCTAGGATCAAGAATATCCCAAAGACTGTGTTGCCTGCCTGGGGCCCAGGTTCAGGATATCACATCTGGGCTGCAGAGGAACTTAGAGTGGGACAGGAAAGATCCGGTTGTCGTGGTCCACACAGGCACCAAAAATACAGGGAGAAAGAGAAAAAAATGTTCTGCTGAGGGAATATGAGCAGTTAGGGGTTAAATTAGGAAGCTGAACCAAAAAGGTGATAATCTCCAGATTATCTGAAATTTTACCTGAAAATTATGAAAAAAGTTAAAACGGTGAAGGGCTCAGCAGAGGTTATTAAAGTTTCCAGAATGACTAATAGGACAGAGAGTGTGGTAAGTGTCAGGAATCTAACTTTAGGGACAGCAGATAAGGGAACAACCAAGAGAAAGGGGCTGTCAACTCAGGTCTGAGGGTGTTGTACTTAAACGCACGCAGTATACGAAACGAGGAAATGAGCTCCTAGCACAGATTGAACTTGGTGGGTACGATGCTGTGGGTATTACAGAGACATGGCTGCAAGGGGATCAGGGCTGGGAACCAAATATTCAACGATATGGGTCCTATTGAAAGCAGACAGGGAGAGGGGGAGGGGTTGGCTTGTTGGTAAGAAATGAAATTAAATCGATAGCAAGAAATGATAATGAGTTGGACGGTGTAGAATCTGTACGGGTAGAGTTGAGAAACCGCAAAGGGAAAATGACCCTGATGGGACTTGTGTACAGGCCTCCTAGCAATAGTCAGGATGTGGGAAAGAAAATAGATCAGGAAATAGAAATGTAAGAAAGGTACTATTAGAATAATCATGGGGGACTCCAATACGAAAGTAGACTGGGAAAATCAGGTTGGTAGTGGATCTCAAGGGAAGGAATTTGTGGAATATCTAGAAGATGGTTTTTTAAGCAGCTTGTAGTAGAGCCCACTGAAGAACAGGCAATTCTGGATTTGAGTTCCACAGAAGTCAGTGTTGGGACCATAACTATTCACATTTTACATTAACAATCTGGATGCAGGAAGTGAGAGCGCTGTTGCCAAAATTGCAGATGACACAATGATAGGTGGAGGGACAGGTAGTGTTGAGGAAATGGGGAGGCTGCAGGACTTAGACAGGCTAGGAGAACAGGCAAAGATGTGGCGGATGGAATACAAAGTGGAAGTGTGTGAGGTTATGCTCTTTGGTAGGAAGAAAAGAGGCTATTTTCTAAATGGGGAAAGGCTTCAGAAATCTGAAACACCAAAGGACCTGGGAGTGCTAGTTCAAGATTCACTGAAGGTTAACATGCAGGGTGAATTGGCTGTTAGGAAGGCAAATGCAATGTTAGCATTCATTTCAAGAGGGCTGGAACACAAGAGCAGAGATGTACTGCTGAGGCTGTATAAGGCTCTGGTCAGACCACATTTGGAATATTGTGAGCAGTTTTAGTCCCCATATTGAAAGAAGGATGTGCTGGCATTGGAGGGGGTCCAGACGAGGTTTACGAGAATGATCCCAGGGATGAGGGGCTTATCACGAGGAACGGTTGAAAATTCTGGATCTGTATTCAATGGAGTTTAAAAGGATGAGGGAGGGATCTGATTGAAACTTACAGAATACTGAGAGGCCTGGATAGAGTGGACGTGGAGAAGATGTTTCCACGAGCAGGAGAGACTAGGACCTGAGGTCACAGCCTCAGAGTGAAGGGATGACCATTTAGAACTGAGATGAGGAGGAATTTCTTCAGCCAATTGTGAATCTGTGGAACATATTGCCACGGGCTGTGGAGGCCATTGGGTGTAATTTTAGACAGAGCTTGATAGTTCTTGATTGGTAAGGGGATCAGGGATTATGGAGAGAAGACAGGAGAATGGGGTTGAGAAACATATTAGCCATGATTGAATGGTGGTACGGACTGGATAGGCTGAACGTCCTAATTCCGCTCCTATGTCTGACGGTGACCGTTTGAAATCTGACATTTGTCCTGAGGAGTACAAGATGAAAACCTTCAGTCGCATTTCTCTCTTCTCAGCAAGATTCCAGCTCCATGCTACCAAGCAATTGTTTCTTTCTCCTCAGATACAAGTCGATATTTTGCTGTGGCAGTGAGTTTGCAAATGCAATTAGAGGAAATGATGTGAAATGTAGAGAATAGACCATTTGGTCCATGCTGGGTTAATGCTCCACAACAGCTTCCTCCCTGCCCCATTTGCATGTCCATCCATTCCTTCCACATTTAGTTCTCCAGCCCCCCGTGACATCATCAGACATCCTCTGTCATGTTCACGACAACAGTCTAATAATCAATCAAATGTCAGGGATGGAAAAACTCCATGGGATTGTTCATTGGAAACAGTAAAACACATTATAAATGATGAAGCAGACATTGCAACAGCCGGTTGGTCTCTGCTGGTGCAAGTTGTGGACCCAAGGCAGAATAACTGTCAGGCAGGGTCATAACAGTGTGTACACACAGAACATGGAATGCTGAAAGGTAAACTCTCTTAAAGACAGTGCACACATTCAACATAATCAAATCTTGATTCTTTTCAACCATGGTGCTGCTCATCTACATGTAGTATCAAACTGATTTTACTATACATATATTATATCTTATATATACGAAATATATCATATATATATAATGGAGTAAGAGAAGACCATTGTCATTATTAGACGTTTTGGGATAGCAAGAGTAAATTTTTAGAATTTGATATGTATAACAGACATCTGTTGCCTGGTTTCGCTGCAGATGTATTTTTTACCATGAACTGTTTCAGTCTTGCTAAGGTGTCGATTAAAACGTTTAAGTGGATGTTGCAGTGTTTACAGCAGTATTCCAGCCCTGTGGATTGCACTTTAATTGAAAAGACAGAGACTTACCACAGTGTTCGCTCATCTCCTGGCGCACATACGTGCGGATTTGGTCCTCCTGTCATGAAGGGTGGGAAGCAAAGAGGGCAGAATTAATGTCGCTGTTTACTGGACTGGCACAGTCCCAAGCTCCCTTGGGGCAACACACACTGGAGACCTGCAGCCATCCACAAATGAGACCGATTATCACAAAAACAGTCCCTGCTTCTGGACTGATGGGCCCCATTCAAGAAATCTCCTGGGAAGCAGGTCAGGAGTGAAAGAGCCCCCTTCACAGGGGGAATTTTAATCAGACATGTTTTCTTCGGCAATGTTTATTTTAAACAGCCGTCTGGGCTATGCTTTGAGATGGAATTTACTTCAGGGGCCATTTGGTCAGAAAGCCATGAAAATCTCAGAGTTCTGTCCCTAAATTGTCTGACACTTCTTGGGTGGTTCGGTTTTCCACCTCTTGTTTCTCCCTTCGCCACTTTAATTTATGTTCAAATATTTATTCATGTTCCCTACACACCTGACCTGGCCATTCACATTCCCCTACACACCTGACTCTGCCATCCACACTCCCCTACACACCTGACCCTGCCATTCACAATCCCCTACACACCTGACCCTGCCATTCATATTTCTATTGACATATATTTTGCTTCTGAAGTTGTCTCTTTACCATTCTCTTTGGTGTTGTCATTTAATCTCTCCCACTTTCCAGTCTTTTACAGACTTCCCTATACACATGGACTAGGATGAGTAGGCCATGCAGTCCCTCAACACTGCTTTATTTTTGTTCTCTTTCCCACCTTCCCCTCTTCCGTGTGCTCAAAACTTTAAAGCATATAGCAATGTTTCCTATTCTGAGGCAAGGTGACAGATCCAAAACTATGTTAACTCTGTGTCTCTTTCTCTCCCATACTAATGCTGCCAGACCAGCTGAGTGTTTCCTGAATTTTGATTCCATAATTCCAGCAAACCATTGTTTTGCTTTTGTACTGGGTCCTAATACACTGGCTTTCATCATGATATTGGCATGGGATCTTTCACTTCCACCTCATAGAATGGAGAGGGTTTAGTTTCACACCTCAAAGTAACAGTGCTGACAGTGCAGCACTCCTTCAGTACTGCAATGGAGTTTCTGCAAAGTTAGATACTCTGGCGTGTGACTTGAACCAAAAACCATTGAAATCAGAGGCAAGACATCAAGAATAGTCTTACTTAATCTTAACAAGAAATATGACGCATGAGTGATTTACTGACAAACCAATGAGACCAAACAAAAAGAATTAACATACCGTCATTCCTGGTTTTCCCTGTTCTCCTTTTTGGCCGTCAGGACCCATTTCACCCTTAACCACAGAGAACAGAACAAATGGTTATAACCATAGCGACAATGAATGTGAGCATTACGTTCACCACACCGAAACCAGACCAGAGAGAAATGAAGGAAAGGGAGGGTTGCACAGAATTTAACCGAACTTTCAGAGGGATTCACAGGCACAATGTGGACGATCCTCTGGGAATCCGATGCATTATTGGGTGGGAAACACAATTAAAAAATATTGTATAGCAAGAGAAATAGGCCATTCTGCTCATCATTCCCTGTGCCAGCACCTTACCATTCACATCTTCTCTAGGCACCTGAATTTGTCATTCACGCCTCCTTTAGACATATATTTTGTTTTGTTTTATCTCTTGTGAAGGGTAAGACAGTTTCACTTTCGTGTTTTTTTTAACCAATGCAAATCCTGCAGTATTTAATCAATTTTCTTTTGCAGACTATTTAGAATCTACCTCGAGCATTCTTTCAGCAAGCGTCTTGCAGATCGTCTCCACTTCTAACTGCATGAAACAAATGCCCATCTCGCTTTCCAGTTCTTCGGCCAATCATCCTGAATCAGTGTTACAGATATTCCTGCCTTACTGCACAAGTGATGTCCAGGCAGAGGGCCTATTGTCACTCCTGTTTTCGATGACTTTATACTTCAATGAATTATTTTCCTAAACGGTTGGTGTATCTTTTTTATTTACTTGTGTCACTTGGGCATTATTGACTGGACGAACATGCCCATCCCTCATTGCCCCTCGAGAAGGTGGTGGTGAGCTGCCTTCTTGAACCGTTGCTGAGGGTTGACCCACAATGTCATTAGGGAGGGAATTCAGGGAGCAGAGGGGTGGGTAGTGTGTTGACCACAGTGAAATTTGATTTAATTTGTTCATTGAATAGAATCTTCTGTTTGCGTTAACGGAAAATAATTTTATAGTTGCTCATGCCTGTTGTCAAATCTTCAATTTGCCAAAGCTCTCCTTCACAATTTATCAGCTTCCAGGTTCTGGGAATTTGAGCTCCCTCCAGCTTCAGTTACTTATTAAATATTTGGGAATATCACCGGACAACATCTTGGAAATTCTTGGGAGTGGGTGATATCTTATTTCTCCACAAAGAACAGGATTTTCCTGCCCCATTCAGTAAGGGGGAGATCTTGTTGAAACAGAGAAGGTTCTGAGAGGGCTTAACAGGGTAGAAGTTGAGAAGACTTTTCCATTACTGTGGGAATCTCAAATTAGAGGAGATAGTTACAGAGTAAGGGGACAGTCATTCACAACTGAAAATGTGAAGGAAGTTCTTCTCCCAGAGAGTAGCGGCTGTCTGGAATTCTCTACCCACAGAGAGTTGTGCAGGCTAGATCACTGAAAGTCTTTGAATAGGAGGTTGGTAGATTTTTCAAACATCAAGACGTTGAGAGCTGAGAGGAACTGGCAAGGAGGAGGACTTGTGACCTCTGGAAGATCTGCCGTGATCTTGTTGAATGTGGAACAAGTTTGAGAGGCTGAATGGCCATTCACCTCCTCCAATTTCCTGTATTCTTATTCTCTCACACCACTCCTAAGGCACACAGGGACAGTCTGATTGGAAAGACAGGTTCAACACAGCACTGCGAACCAGCTGGTTTGACAATGAGCTCTACACTGTAGTACATTACAGGAAGGATGTTATTAAACTGGAAAGGGTGCAAAAAGGATTTGCTAGGATGCTACTGCGACTGGAAGGTTTGAGCTGTAAGAAAGGCTGCTTATAAAATAATTGTTTAGTGGTACAATTACAACATGTAAAAGGCATCTGGATGGGTACATGAATAGGAAGGGCTGAGAGGTAGAAAAACAGAGGTGGTAAAGGTCAGCAGGTCTGGCAGCATCTGTGAAGAAAAAAATCAGAGTTAATGTTTCGGGTCCGGTGACCCTTTCTCAGAACAACGGAAGGGTCACCAGACCTGAAACGTTAACTGTTTTTTTTCTTCACAGATGCTACTAGACCTGCTGAGCTTTTCCAGCAATTTCTGTTTTTGTTCCTGATTTACAGCATCCACAGTTTGTTTGGTTTTTATAGGTATATGGGCCAAATACTGGCAAATGAGACGAGATTTTTTTCTTTATTCATTCATGGGATGAAGGTGTCACTGGCTAGGCAGCATTTATTGCCCATTCTGCAGTTAAGAGTCAACCACATTGCAGTGGGTCTGGAGTCACATGTAGGCCAGACCAGGTAAGGATGGCAGTTTCCTTCCTTAAAGGATATTAGTGAACCAGGTGGGCTTTTCCTGACAATGGATTTATGGTCATCATTAGATTCTTAATTCCAGGTATTTTATTGAATTCAAATTCCACCATCTGAGTTCCCCCAGAACATTATCTGGGTCTCTGGGTTAACAGTCCAATGATAATACCATTAGGCCATCACCTCCCCAACGGTGTGCACATAATTTAGGATATCTGGTCAGCATGGACGAGTTGAACTGAAGGGTCTGTTTCCATGCTGTACAGCCCTATGAGGCTATGCACAGGAAATTCGAGAAGCTGTTTCTCTGGAACAGCTCATTGTTCCGACACTTACAGGATCTCCTCTCTCTCCAGGGACTCCTGGAATTCCTCTGGGACCTGGAATGCTCACACCAGGAGGGCCTCGTTCCCCCTAAAGTCAAACACAAACAGTGAACACTGTTAAAACATTCAGCCTTAACATTCTGGGGCCTCAGAAAGCTCAAGCAGCTCAACAACCGAGCAAGATGTCAGAACCAGTGAGGGTTGTTAACCGCGTCAGGCAACACTGCAGAAAGAGAGGTCTTTCTAATCAATCTGTTCAGAGACACATCTCTGGAGCAAGTGGGAGCTGACCCTGGGCCTCCTGGCTTAGAGGTGAGGCAGGGACTTTACCACTGCATCTCAAAAGCCCTCAGTGCCAACATGATGCCAGTCATTCTAGTCAGTCAAGCTGAGCTAAGCAACGCAAAACTGACCTCTCCAAAGTTGCAGAAATGAGGTAGACTTGGATGATCAGGGTGGCACGGTGGCTCAGTGGTTAGCACTGCTGCCTCACAGCGCCAGGGACCCGGGATCAATCCCACCCTGGGGTGACTGTGCAAACTCCACACAAACATTCTCCCCATGTCTGCGTGAGTTTGCTCTGGTTTCCTCCCACAGTCCAAAGATGTGCAGGTTAGGTGGACTGGCCATGTTAAATTACCCATTGCATGCAAGGTGGATTGGATATGGGGAATTGCAGGAACAACAACAGAAGTTGCTGGGAAAGCTCAGCAGGTCTGGCAGCATCTGTGAAGGAAAAAAATCAGAGTCAACATTTCAGGTCTGGTGACCCTTCCTCAGAACTGATTTTTTTCTTCCCAGATACTGCCAGAGCTGCTGAGCTTTTCCAGCAACTTCTGTTTTTGTTCCTGATTTACAGCATCTGCTGTTCTTTATGGGAAACACAGAGATAGGGGTTGGGTCTGGGTGGCCTATTCTTCGAAGCGTTAGTGTGGACTTAATGGGCAGAATGGCCTACTTCCTCACTAAAGGATCCTATGAATGAAAACTGGATGGTGGGTAATGCATTGGGAATTCACTGTGGAGAACTTTACAACTGGATTAGGAGTGAAGAATTCCAAAGTAAGCTCTCCAAATCTGTTTCCATGAGAAGAAACGATATAAAATGCTGTGAAATTTAGTGGGATTTTCAGAAAGGCAGGAGAGTGAAATCGGCTGCAGCTTATAACATGGAATTGAGAATGACAGGCATTGTGAAGCGCTTGGTCTATGAGCATGATTTTTTTTAGAGTTAATCTTCATTCACTCATAGGGCAGATCAGGCAGTCATCCACAAAGCTGGCTAACTCTTACCTGTTGGAGACTTCGAGAATCAAAGAGATGACAACAAAAATAGGAAATTGTCGAATCCAAGAACAAACAGGCAGTGGCGAACTCAATCATGAACACAAGGAGCAGAGAGAATTAATTACCTTTTGACCCTGAATTCCTTCCGGTCCTCTGGGACCTGGTGAGCCCGTAGGTCCAGGGGGACCAGAGATTCCATCAGCTCCTCTCAGGCCCGAAGGACCAACAACGCCAGGGAAGCCCTGAAAAGAGAAAATGACAGTAAGCAAGTGTCATAGTCACACAGATCGGAAACAGACCTTTCGGCCCAACTCATCCATGCTGACCTGGTTTCCTAAACTGACCTAGTCCCATTTGTCTGCATTTGGCCCATATCCCTCTAAAACTTTCCTATCCATGTGCCTGTCCAAATATATCTTAAGTGTTGTATTTGTACCCATCTCCGCCACTTCCTCTGGCAGCCTATTCCAGATACGCACCACCCTCTGTGTGAAAAAGTTGCCCCTCAGGTCCCTTTTAAATCTTTCCCTTCTCACCTTAAACTCACGCCTTCTAATTTTGGTCTCCCCTACCGTGGGGAAAAGACCTTGGCTATTCACCTTGTCTATGCCCCTTGTGATTTTATAAAACTCTTTAAGGTCGCCGCTCAGCCTCTGATACTCCAGGGAAATAGGTCCTTATAACTCCTTATAACTCAAACCTTCCAGTCTCACTAACATCCTTATAAATATTTTTCACACCCTTTCCGGTTTAATAACACCCTTCCTATAGTGTACTACAGTATAGGGTCATTAAACCTCCAGGATGGGCCTTGAATCTTCAGGAATTAAGGGCTATAAGACCATATTACATAGGAGCAGTTGTAGGCCATTCAGCCCATTGAGTCTTCCCTGCCATTCGATGAGATCATGGCTGATCTGATGATCCTCAGCAATATAAAATGGATCTTGGAGATTGGGAACAAACAAAAGCAGAAATTGCTGGAGGAACTCAGCAGGTCTATCAGCATCTGTGGAGAGGAAAAATAGGGTTAACGTTTCGAGTGCAGAACGAGAAGCAGCTAGGTAAAGGCAGTCCTCATGCTGATGATGAGAAAGGGTGGGTGGTAGACGGAGAGAGTGGATTGGTGGAGAGGGAATTCACTGAGAGACATGATAGGTCTCTCCACCTATTCACTCACTCCTTCTCCCATCACCTACTTAAATACTACCATTACCCAGCTGTTTCTAGTTCTGAAGAAGGGTCACAGGACTTGAAACGTTCTTCTCCACAGATGCTGCCCGACCTGCTGAGTTTCTCCAACAATTTCAGCTTTTATTACGCTATCTTTAAATCTTGTCTCAGCGATGGTGACCACGAGCCTGCCATCGATAGTCATGAACACCCATCTGGTTCACCAACGTCCTTTGGGGAAATAAATTGGCCATCCTTGCTTGGTCTGGCCTACGTGTGACTCCAGACCCACAGCCGTGCAATTAAGTGAAGCGACTCACTTTCAAACGCCATGAAGGATGGGCAACAAATGCTGGTCTTGCCAGCAAAGTCCACATTCCCCGAAAGAACAGAAATTATGGACCTTGATTAAATGCAACCTTGGGAAAATGGCACTGCCCAATTTTCAAAACCCAACCAATGGGAGACATCTCACCTCTGGAGTAAGAATTAGCCCCGTGATTGACAGCAGATTTGTGGTATAACTACATATTAAGGATTGTGTAATTGTCCAGTGGTTTAAAGGATGTGAGCTGATAATATTGCTTTGGAGTATCTCATTTTGGTGATTGGAAGCCAATTTTGCCATTAGTTTGCGTTCTTTCAAGGTGTAGAATTGAACTCGGAACCA